GGAAATGTCAGGCACTGATGATTGAATCAATGCGCATTGTCATATGCGGCACACCAACATCATATTGGTCGTCGCACTTCCATTTTTCTTCCTTAATTTAATTTTAATTTTTTTTCTTTCTTCTCTTTTTTTTCGTTTTTTTCTTTTATTCCTTTTTTTTCTCTTTTTTTTTCTTTCTTTTCTTTTTCTTTTTCCTTTTGTTTTCTTTTCTTTCTCTTTTTTTTTTCTTTGTGTCTTCCTTTTTCCTTCTTCTTCTTCCTCCTTTCCCATAGCTTCTTTTTTTTTTCATTTTTTTTATCTTCTTCCTTCGTTTTTTTTTTCTTTTTCTCTTATTTTTCTTTTTCTTTTTCTTCTTCTTATTCCTTCTTCTCTCTCTCTCTCCTTCCCACTCCGTCTCTCCTTTGCGACTGCCACTCACTCCTCCTCACGTGGCCAAGGCTCCTCCCCTCACTCTGCTCTCTCGGCCTCGATCCTCACTTAGCTCGGCCTCCTCTCTCACTCACTCGAACTCAGCTTTTTTCCTCTCTTTCTCCTTTTTTTTTCTCTTCTACTATTTCATTATATAAATATATACATATATTTTTTTGCCACTTGGTTTGTTCTCCTTCTCTTTACATTTTTCTTTTTTTTTAATTAATTAATATTTTTTTTTTCTTTTGTAGCCACTGGTGCATCAACCGGGTATTATAATAATTATGTTGAATAGATAGTAAAATGGAATAATAGATTATTTTGGAAGTAATTACTCTATTCTAAAATAAATTTACTAACAATTATAACAAAAAATTTTGATGACCTACTCATAACAACATGTACAGCGATTAAGATAGGAAAATGGAAATTTATCTAAGTTGTAATATAATTTTTCAAATTTCAACTTCTAAGGCAAAGCACAATATGGATTATTTTCATTTATTTAGTATCAACAAAGTCTGAATAGTTAGTGTATGATTAGAAGTTAAACAGCTTAAAATCAAACAGTAACCCTTGATTTGGAGAATATATACACATATATATATATATATATATATATATACGGAAGATGTGAGCTTTTAGTTATAATTAGTTCACAAATGGTGCTGGGTGGTGAGCGAACGGATTAATTAGCAATAATTGATAATTGATTGGCAAGGTACTAGCTAGCTACCTTGTGTCCAAATCTATAAGAGCCCAAACCTCACCATCCATCGTGCAGAGTGATGATGTATAGTGATCAATCAAATTTAGTTAAATCAACTAATTGCTTATATAAAATTAACTAGATCTATTTACATATTTAGTCAGCAACCTTTAATATTTAACTATATATGTACGTGTGTGTATATATATATATATATATAATCTAGAAGTATAGGGTGCATATATATACACATATATATGGGAAAGTGTCCATATATTTATAATACATATTTGTAAATAATGTGTGGATCACGTGCATGTGCTAGAAAGGGGCCTCATAGCTTAACTAACAAGTTTGGAAGAGCAAGGAGTGCCAAAGCGACAATCCTTATTCCTTTATCAACGGAATTAGTGACAGGGATAATGATCTTTTTTCCTCTATTAAATATTAAAAATTACATTTTCTCTCCTTTTTAAAGTGCAATAAATTACTTTAACATTAAAAGTTTTTTACATAGTAAAAAAAAAAAAATTAACACTGGAAGTGTGAAAAGAATTAGTAAAAGTTTTAACAGTAATATACTAGGATGGCTTGTTGAAGGACAAATTTTGTTTCTATTCAACATTAGGGCCTGTTTGTTGATTTACTCGAGCTGAATTACTTACTTGATGATTATTTCATATGATCAACAGTGGTCTTCGACCTATGCACAAACGTTTATTATGCACAGCAACTTGCCAACATTACTTGAGTTCTTTAAACTTTATCCTTCACTTTAAATTAAGTTGCATTTAATTCTTTATATTTCTTGTGAAACTTTTAACATCAAGGAGTAGTCAATAATTATTTATTTATTTTTTCCCTTGCTTGTGTTGTATATTGTTCTTATAATGCGGAAATCTTGGTGTCCTTGATTAACAATAAAATAATAAAAAAAAAAAAAAGTTTCTTACTGTGTGCTAGTGATCTCATGGTTAGACTAGCTTATATTTTTCCAGTCACATGAATATGACCTAAGAACATCTCTCGTTGTTTATTTTATAGAATTTTTTCTCTAGTTCCAAAATAAGTAATTTATGTGTGAAAATACCTGTAATAAGATTCTATGGGCGTGATATAAAGTTGCAATTCATGGTGAGTTTTCTATCAATCATATTATAGGCTCCAAACACCTTAAGGTTCACGCTTTAACACATTGTTGGCGCTAATATTTAATACTCGAATATTTAGGCTCTTATCAATAGAGAAAGGCAAACTATGGAAGTATTTCACTTTGGAGACGTTGTCATTCTTTTTTACTTATTTTACACATGTTTATCATGTTTACTTGGCATGCCTTTGTCAATTTTTACAGTTTGATCTTTAGTATATTTTATCTTAAACTGTATGTTTAATATTTGGACTTACATATCAATATGATAGTTTTTGTGCACTTGCTTTGTTTTAACCCAATAAAGCATATCTTTACTTAAAAAGAAAGTAAAACAAATAATGGATTAGTGAAACGTTTAAGTTTTCTCTAAATTAAATTATTTAAGGATAAAAAATGATAGTAGTGAAAGTGATTAACAAATTAGAAAAAAGAATTATGGCTAAAAAGTTGAACTTTGTCGTGATTTAAGGAAGTATTTGTAAGGATTTATTACTAGGGACAATTAACTAGCCAAAAGTGTTTTATGATGATTTGGTTGGCTCCTTGTCATGTTTCAAATAGTTTTGACAATGAAGGATTTTAATTTTACTGATATCATGAGATCTCTAAATTTAATGATGCCAGGAAATGATATTTAAAATACACATTGTCAATTTTTTTTATCAATGTAAATGGTACAAAACCACATGAGTCTATCAAGTCAATTTGAGTTCTTGGGGCTAGAACCCCTAACTTGAGGAGTCAATCAGCCAGGGCTTGATACTAATGGTGACTAGAATCTCTGTGAGGTATTAAAATATTTTAGTTGAAGTAAAAGATATGTTTTTTAGTGTCAATAGTCATATATCATATTGAGAGTTTCCTAGTGTCAAAATTATCTTTAAGATTAATTTTTTTTCGTGATTATTTTAATCATTCAAGATTAATTCAAGTGAAAGATAAATATTTTAGTGTCTTATAAACTACATAATATAATATAAATACAACTACTTGAGTCTACCTTAAAATTAAAAGTAAAAAATAATAACAAAAAAAAAGAAATTTTAGTTACATATGAAGTGCATTACTTAGAGCCAACTATCTGATCTATCAGGAAAAATATACATGCTGCTAGAGAAAACCTCCCAAAGGCAGAATCCAAGTGAAACACTACACCATTTGTATGATTCAGATAAAGAACGTATTTATCCTAGAAAAATTACTTCAATAATATCTATATCTCTAATGTCCTTTCCCCTCAAATTTACATCAAAAATTGGAGACAAAAGTTTGTCTTAAATTTTGATAAATTGAGGCATAGGTAAATCTTGGATGAAAATATCTATAGTTTGATCTAGAAAGGAAATAATTTGGATGTGTAATTCCTTGATAGCAACTTTTTCAAATACAAAGTGATAATCAATCAATCTCAATGTATTTAGTGCAAATATAAAATATTGAATAATAATTAGATACATACGTAGCACCAACATTATGCACCATGGTATGAGATGGGTAAAGTTTAATATCAAATTCATGCAATAAAAGTAGAGTCAATTTGGAATTTGGGACTTGAGATGTACAATTGATACGAGATAATATCATCTTTAGTAGTGTAGTACCAAATTCATTAATTAACCTATGTAAATTTTGATTGTTACAAACGGTAAGAAATTATGTTTTCTATAATAAATAGCATATAAAAGTAAATTTTGTTAAAAATTAATTACCAAAACAATATGACAGTAAAATAATTGAATCTTTTACTTGAAGAAAGGAAGAAGTAGTGCTTGCAGTACTTTCTAATCCTTTTTAAATTACCATCATATAGAGCTTAGTAAATTATTAATTATTGTATATTAGTTACAAGTTAATGCTCTTAGAATTCTTTTGAATTGTGCAAAATTTTATTTAATATACAAAAAAAGTGACAAATGTAACAATATTTTATTTTTTTATTAATTAATCGAATATATATATATATATATATCCTTATATCCTAATAAACGATATACAATATGTATAGAATTTTCTCTAATGGGACATTTTGTTACCTAATAGTTAAAGAAAAATCTTAAATTAGGTGTAGATAGAAAAATTTCTATATCTGTTCATATTCGTAAAAATATTTAAGCCAATAATTTGAACGAAAGAATTGGAATTAAAAAAATAATATCATATTATATAATTAAACATCTCTATAAATATAGAAAGACGAATTAGAAAAAGAATTAAAAAGGAATATCGAATGTTTTCTTTGAAAGCAAACAATTCTCTCTATCAAAGGGTATTGAATCATTGATATATTACGATCTATATAATATTCTATGCTAATATTTTAATTGTACTAGCTAGAAACTAAAAGAAATACATATATATATTTATATAAATGTGTAAAAATTTGAAGGCTTGATGATCTAAGATTTAATTCCTTGTAAAATCTCCGCCGTCAAGACAAAGCGAACTTGACACTTGGGGTTCCTGACACGCTTAGCATTATGAGAACCCTGTATTTGAAAACACTTTAAAGAAAATAAAAATACAAAATTTGTGGTTCCTACACGGGCCAGTGACTGATAGCAAAAGGACAATGAGCCAATCACAACTCGACAGCACATTCAGTGAAAACCACTTGGGTTTCTCCAAAAAACCACTAATTTTCCCCTAAAACAGCTTTTTTCTTATCTTTGAGAATTTTTCCTATTTCTATGTGTGTATATATACACACTTACATGCTTCCTCAGACACAAGAACCTCTCATTTATTTTAGCAAGAACAAACACAAGAGAGGAAAACAATTCCCCATTTGGGCTTTTTAATACACTACCCAAAATATCCATTTATATATATATATAAATAGTTTTTTGAGTTGTGTGTGTGTGTGTTATAAGTTGCAAAGCCTGGTTTTGTTTTCCTGGTTGTGTTTCTTGGGTTCTGGTTGTTGGGTGTTTTTAGAGAAATCAAGAAGAGTAGAGATGGGGAGAGGTAGGGTTCAGTTGAAGAGGATAGAGAACAAGATCAACCGCCAGGTGACCTTCTCCAAAAGGAGAGCTGGCTTGTTGAAGAAAGCTCATGAGATCTCTGTCTTGTGCGATGCTGAGGTTGCATTGATCGTCTTTTCTCACAAAGGAAAACTCTTCGAGTACTCCACTGATTCCTGGTAATTTTAATTTACTTCCGTAATTTTTTTCATCTCCAATTTCTTCAATTGATATTCTTATTCATCTGGGTATTTTTATTTTTACTCTTGATTTACTGTTATACACGCACACACACATATATCTCTCGTCTTATAGATCTTTGCACACCGATCCACATCTCAATCATCTTACAACTCCTTTTGTTTTCCTGCAAATTAATAATTTTGATCTTCTATTTTTCTTATTATATTTTTGGTTCTCAATATCCCTTTTGTTTGTAGTTAAGTAGTAGGATTAATACATTAGAGTGGTTTATAAAGCTTAAATTAATTTTTAGTAAATTTGTCTTCATCTGAAGTGGTACTGAGTTAGGAACTGACGTATATTAGGAACTACTTGCGGATTTAACACATGTACGTATGCTTTAAATGGAAGGTTAATTAAGGGGGTACCGCGGTTTAAGTTCTTTCTGAGCTGTTTCATTGAATTCATGCAATAATGCCCGTCATAACGTACTTCATATAACTAATAAATTAATCTGTAGTTAAACAGAACTACTGTTAATTCTTCATTTACTTGGTATATATATATATATATATATAATATCCGTTGGTCCAAATTTGAGACCGTACTGACTATAGAGCTGGACGTTTACTCATTACCCATTTCCTATTAGAGTAATTAATAGGATAATCATAGGATTATAGGAAGGAGAGATATTGACCTTTATGATGCATGTACATACATATATATATATATATATATATTCATGAAGCGATCAGTTGACGCCTAGCTCTGGTTGATTCTTGGGTATAAGTAATTTCTAATAGCAAACTATATTCAATTAATTAATACTTTTATTAACATAATTAACAATAATGGTCACAAGTGTTAATAAACGAATAATGACATGTGTGTATGATATATAGTTACTCCTTTTGAATGATACCGAAGTTTCCTCTTTTTCCTGCCTTTTGGAAGACAAAGTTTATTGATTTGACTCAAAGAACGTCTGAAAAATGCTAATGCTAGAAATCCATTTGGAGCTCTGCTTCATAGGCTCTCAATCATGGTCAAGGGAGAAAGGTGATACACACACACACTGCACTAAATCCCATACTTGCTTCCTTAACACGAGTAAGCCAAATTAGCAAACCCTACAAACATAAGCATCATTATAAAGTTGTATCACCTTTAACAAAAGATGGTTAATTAGTGATAATTATAAGCTTATCTTTCCGAAAACGCCCAGTGAAGTCTTCTGGATCCCACTAGAAACCTAGGATGAAAATATAGGTAGAGTTGTTTCGTCTTTACTAGGTTTGTCAGGGTTGAAGGATACATCTGAACGAGGACAGAGAAAAGAAAAGAACCAAACAGCTTTTTACTTCTCATCTCAATTCTTTTGTAAGATGAATTAACATAGTATTAATACATTTCTATTGATAATTTATTAAAAATTTTAATTTATTAAGTATATTATTTAAGTTAAATTTTTAATAAATTTCTGATTTTGTATGAATATATATTCATTGTACAAAATCATTTCTCTATTCAAACTTCAGATCCTTTCATAAAAATTTTATTATGACATAATTTTAATGGGACCTGTTGTGTCTAAACACCCCAGAGGCTTTCGATTTGGATTGAGGAATATAAGGACATTTCCTGCTGACCTTCCAAAAAGAAAAACCATAGAAAACCTTCATGAATATCCCATAACTTCGAATACATATACATATACATATATACACACACACACACACACACACACACACACACACTCCACAGGGGTATGCATGTAGTTTCATTCATAATGACCTGTGTATATATATATATATATATAGTATATATAGCTAATAGTTAATGACCTCAGATGATGTCAAAACTGAAGAGACTTACTGTAATCTGAGGTCAAGAATTTATTTGACTGATGTTCACTGACTCAAGCTGCTTAGAGAGCTAAAGATGAGTGACCTTGGGGGTTGTGTTCCAAGGAAACTTCTCTGATGTGTTTGATTTGTGATTTTTTTAAAATTTTAATATCTATAGTATTTTTAGTAAATAGGCACAATATTTTTTCCTTAAATTTTGATTTAACAGTTTTGTGATATAGTTTTACTGGTTGAAATAATCTGCTACAGTACAGCTATTTCATTAATTTAGATATATAGGAGCACCTTTTTTCACCAAAAATAATAAGTTATTGTCTATACTATTAATTTTATTCAAATTAATTATTCCGACAATTTTTCAATCAAATTAATTTATATATTTTATAAATATTTTTAATTTAGTTCATCATCTTAACTTGCTAACGTAGTTAACCTTAATGCCACTTGTCAAATTTGACATCAAATAACACTTTTTAATTGATCTGTGCAAGTGAATATAATATCAAATATTACGTAATATTTAATACGGTATTTAAAAAAAATTATATTTAAATTAGTTTAAACTAACACAACGTTTTTTTTTTTTAAATAAATTCCTAAGCCCTAATTTTCTTAAATTCCCAAAACACCCCACTACCATTCTGCTTCTTCTTCTTCTTCTTCTTCTTCCTCCTCTCATCCTTTCATGTAGAGATATTAGAGTTATAAGTGGGGCAATAACATTTGTCAAATAAAGCCTCAAAATCAAATTGACCTAAATGGAGATCTTAGTTGGTATGCTCAAGTTGAACTCATTGGTGGGTTTTCTTTTATTCGATAAGACTTCTGATCTCATTAACTGGCGTTACATCATTGTTGTAGTCACTGCAACATTGATAGTAGATGTAATTTTAATAGGATTCGCGACATCATTATCGCTCCTCATGGCTAGAAGAGTAGTTACATAAACATCAAGGTCAATTACTCATTGATGATAGGTTCCATTTATGTGGTCGAGCTATCTTTAGCTATATCTTGTGGCTTGTTGTCATCGTCCCCAACGATCTTCATCACCATGGGAATTCTTCATCACCATTGAAAGGAGAAGAAAAATGGTCGGAGAGTGTTTTTGGGATTTAGGAAAATTAAAGTTTAATGACTTTTTTTTAATTTGTTGATCAATCTAAATTTATTTACATATAAATTTTTTTAAATGTTATGTCAGATATTGCAACTGATATAATATTTACTTGCACAAACCAATAAAAAAATATTATATGGTGACAAAATTTGACATATGGAATCAATCTTAACAATGATAATGGTAGGACGATAGTGGTAGGTTAAAGGGAGAGACTAAATAGAAAATTTTTCAAAAATATAAAAATTAATTGAATTAAAAATTAAGATAAAAACTAATTTAAATAAAAATTAGTAATATAGAAACTTTTTATTATTTTTGCCATTCTTTTTGTTTAAAAAAATTCCTAGCTCATGAGCATAGATTTTAAACATTAGTTATCTCGTATTTTATTAACAAACCTCTAATCTCATGCTAACTGGTGAAGGAACAATTTTAGAAGTCTAAAATGATTATTAAGAATCTAATTTTTTTATTTATTTATCTACAATATTCTGGAGATTAGGTATATTTATTGGAGCTACAAACAGTTTTAATACTTTAGATTAATGAAACTCTAATCTAATGAAATTTTGATGTATTCATATTTTTTACTTTGGAAAAAAAGAAAGAAAGTTATATTCGTTTTGAACGAGAATAAGAGATTAAAGAGTGTTGGAAATATTTCTTTGCTACTTATATCTGTTTATACATAAAAAAAAAAAAAATTATTTGGTCTTTAAAAACAATTTTAAGTATATAAAAGATAGACGACTCATTCGTAATGTTCTAAATTTCTTTTCATCTATTAAATTTTGTTAATTATATATGTTGATACTCTTAAAATTAATATCATACGCAATAGTACAAATTAGGAAATATTTATAATAAATATGTACTTTTAAAAAAATTTATTAAATATACCTACTTGTTTTGTAATCACCCCTTTACTCATCTGTATAACTACTTATTTTTAAATAAGAACTTATTTATTTTAAATAATTTAAAACATCAAATTCTATTTTAATCCCACTCTTTTCGAAAATCTCGAATTCGTTCTTAAAACCTTGCATTTCTTTCTTTTTTCTAGTGGAGGGGAAGGGAAGGGGTGTTCAAGTACTACCCCTTCATTTGAATTTATGAACTTGGAATGAGTAATTTAAGTTGTTGTAGTTTAAATTCAATTTACAGTCTCTATAGCTAGTTTAACACTTCTGTTTTGAATTGTTAGAAGTGTTTTATAAATAATTTTCAGTAAAACAGTTTTAAAATAAAAATACTATAGTGATTTGTAAAATTTATTATATAAAATATTATTCAAATTTAATTAATTGCATTAAAAATTAATAATAAATATTAAAATGACAAAGAATTGAATAACAATAAGAATTGTTATAATTATTTAAACAGTATTAGTTTTTTTAAAAAAAAATAATTTATAATTTAAATATTTTATAAACTAATTATTACTTTTACTAATTCCATGTGAAACCTCATGCACATAAACTTACATCCCAAGACATCACCTAAACGGTTAATCTCGCTAGAAGTAGTATTTATATTTGGTACTTATCGGTTTTAGAATCCTTGCTAGTACTTATGTCCCGACAATCTGAGGCTTTTCCTTCTTTATGGAGTTTTTCAAGTGTTGGCTGCTTCAAGCATGCTCTTCTTGTTTTTCCCCTATGCAAGATATCTTTCATTTGCCAGTTTTCTTTTTGCATGGAGTTCTAACTTCATTTAGAATCCTATGAGGTTTCAGTCGTTTCAAATTTGATCATTGATGAACGTCTGGCTTTATGCTGTAAGTATAAGAGTTATATCAATTGCCTTTTTGCATCCCTGGGTGGTGTGATTTAGTACAAGCTTTGGATTGTCTTCTTGGCTGCTGTGGGGTCAAATGAAACTTTCTTTATGGATCTCAATATAACAATTAGAATTGCATGATAAAATTCTTATTTTACTTCTAAAAAATTAATAGGGGGTTAAGACTTTAGGAGATTATGGCTTTGCTTCGAGCATGAAAATATTTAAATTTTTTTATGTATATATTTTTATAATTGCTTTTGTGTATGTTTTTAGGTGAAGATCACAAAATATGATAGAATGTTATATATAAAATAATATATTAATTTCAAGTTAATTCGATGTTAATCAAGATAAATTTGTCTTAAGTTAAAAAGTATAGCCGAGTTCCAAAAACAAACAGTAAAAAGCAAAGAGCTGAGTTCGGGTGAGAATGAAACTTGGTATGACTGTATCTGAAAATTCGCCAGCATTGTATCAAGTTTTTCTTCTTTTTTTCACACTGAATAAGATCGATTTAAAGAACGTACAAGAAAAGACAAACCCCTAAATTTCTTTCTTGTGTATCGAGTACCCTCAGTTGAACATTGTTGTTGAGAAGAAGGTGCTAAGCAATATAGACATCTTCAGTGATAAGATGGCTTGATTTTAAAGGTTGTAGAATGACGTCGCTAGAAGCTTCAACTGTGCTTTTTTATGGTTAAATATATTAAGTAGTACAGATCTGATCTATATATATATATATATATGTACTATTAAGTATATATCAGTAATAGAGACCTAATCCTACTGACTTCACCTTTTAGGAGTTTCCACAATTTGTACACAGGAATATCTAGCTTCTTGCATTACCAATTTTGTCAGTTTTTTATTTATTAATTTATCAGAAACAGAAAAAAAGATTTCTGTGTTAATCATCATTTTCTTTTCTTTTCGTATATAATAAATCTGTAGAGACTTGTAATTAAGTCAACCCTCTCTGCATGCTTTTTAAATGTAATTAATATTATCCTTAAGAAAACTTAAATTAATTATTCCTCCTCTAAAAAAATTTGTTAATGTACTAAGTGTTATATATTACCTATTCACATGGTATTAGATACTGATTTTATGTTTAATTGTTAAAATATTGGTGATTTTTGGAGGAAAATGGCTGTCTGGATCAATTTGCAAGCTTTGTATATCATGTAGTTTATTTGAAAACCTTATGACTGTATGTAACTTGTTTCATCATCTGTCTATATATCTCTATATATATATATATTGTACATATATAAGGGTGTGGGTAAATAAAAATCATTAGATGAAGGTAGGGTATTGGGTTTTCACAGACAACCTACACTTAGCATCGGTGTTGACCCACTGTTTGAAGCTAATCTCATATGTACTTGTCCCTTGAAGACGTCACGACTTGTACTTGTTGACAGGCACAAAGGAATATTTACTGTGCTTATATATATATATGTACGTATTATACTACTCTTGTTTGTTAGAGATAATTGCTAGTAAAATTCTTAATTTGTAGAGACTTGGTATTTTAGCGAATATAAATTATTCAAATATAGAGATTCGAATCTGTGTGAGAGTCTCATAAGTAGGAATTGAGAGGTGATGAAGTTGTAATTTTGTATACGTTACAACTAAGAGATGTTTGAATTGAGAGTTGTATTGGGTTCAAGGGGACTTTTGACATATCAAATTAATAAACCTCATTTACTTAATTTCAAAAAAAAAAAAAAAAAAAAAGAACATGTATGTACTGAATATTAAAATTTTAAATTATGTTGCTCATGTTCTTGATTTGTGATGAACTGAGAGATGAAATTAGGATTCTTAAATAATATATTGAATCAATTATTACACGAACTTAAATTGTAATTTGTGTACAGCATGGAAAAAATCCTGGAACGTTACGAGCGCTATTCTTATGCAGAAAGACAGCTTGTTGCACCCGACTCTGAACTGCAGGTATATATTAAAGTGATTAATGTTTAATTAAATTATGAGCATCTCTGATTTCTAACGCTACTACATACTATATATATTACATATGTGTGTGTGTATATATATATATATATATTTGATCAATATGAAGGGGAATTGGTCTCTGGAGTACAACAGGCTGAAGACTAAGATTGAGCTTCTACAAAGAAACCACAGGTATAGTGCAGCGAAAGTCAAGTGACTTGTCATTTTTTTCTAATGATGATACTAATTAATACGTACTTGTTAATTTACATTTCTAAAACCCTTTTCAGGCACTATATGGGTGAAGATCTTGAATCACTTAGTCTCAAAGAAATTCAAAATCTTGAGCAGCAGCTGGATACTGCTCTTAAGCACATTCGATCAAGAAAAGTATGTACTAACTCATATATAAAAATATATCTTCCTTGTTATATACTCATTTCATTTTGTCAGTTGATGATGGAATTTTGGCTGCTGCAGAACCAACTCATGTATGAGTCCATTTCTGAGCTTCAGAGAAAGGTTAGTTACTTAGGCCCCTTCAACCTCTTATCTAACCCTTAATTTGGTCAAACAAAAATTAATTCATGTCTTCATCCATACAATTAACTATATTATATATCGTATATATTTACATGTATACGTGTTTATTTATTTTGAGTTCAATGAGATTGATGCATGATTGATTGGAGGAATCAGTAGGTAGATTTAATGGTCCTGTGCAGTACTTTTTACCATATCAATTATCATGACATCCTAATTCATGGAACTCAAAAGCATTAGTACGAGGGAATAAAATAAAATAAAAGGAACCATAAATCACTCAAGAATCTTTGTATTCTTTTCTACTGTGGACTTTATTGATGTTGCACATAAATATATATATATACATCATATGTACATACGAACAAGATTAAAAGTGGCATATAACAACGATAATATGTATATATATGTTATTCTAACTTGTATGTCTGAGGTTGTTGATGATATGTCATGTCTTGTGACGTTCACACAGGAGAAGGCAATACAGGAGCAAAACACCATGCTCGCCAAGCAGGTCATCATTTACATATATATTTATACATATATACAGTTACTCATATGCCTACTGGTTTAATTAAGTTGTAATTACATCTCCAGAAACAAAAGTATATATTAATTAACTTTAGTCAGTAAAAGATATTTGAAAGTGGTCTTACATATGTATAGTTAATTTCTGTGTCATTGTATTTATGAATGTAGATCAAGGAGAAAGAAAAGACGCTGGCTCAGCAGGCACAGTGGGGGCAGCAAAATGGCAATGCAGGACCCAGCACTGTACCAACCTTCATGCTGCCTCAGCCACCTCCCTGTTTAAACATCGGGTATAAATATATATATATATATATGTACTCTCTTTTACAACACAGACGCCGTAGATAAGACTGAGCTAACCCTATCTATTGCTAATATATGCATGTGTGCCTACAACCCTAGCAATGCATAAACGCTATTACTTTCCTTCCAGCACAAGAATCTTAATGTATCTAATATGTGTGTGTGTGTGGATGTACATATATTAGGTGCTCATATGTAGCTTCAACTCTCTGCTCTCTATCAGCCACAGTAGTTACAAGACGTGCACTTCTTTTGATATACTCCTCTCTATGCTACGTTTAGACCCATGTGATTTTTACTTCACCTGATCAAGTCATTTCCTATGTATCTAGCAATCACCATAGGAGATTTATTCAACAACAATTTATTTATATTGATAGAAAATGGTAATTAGTAGATGAGAAACAAAAATTAACGAAGTAATTGGGTGATGTGTGTGTAGTGGGGCATACCAAGAAGAAGGTGCAGAAATGAGGAGGAACGATCTGGAGCTGACGCTTGAACCCATATATTCAACCCACCTTGGATGCTTTGCTGCTTAAGTTAACCCATCAAATATATAACTTTTACTTTTCTTTATATATATATATATCAGTTGGGATGAGATTACCACACCCCCAACCCCCTAAGAAAAAGAAGAAAAGTGTGATTGAATCTCATCCTCTCTTCTTATATATATATATATATGTATGTATGTATAATATGTGATGTAACATCTATGTTTGCCCTTCGTTAAGTACCGTACTTATAAATATGCACATTTTACTTTAGATCCATGTTTGAATGATTCTGGAATGTATCCATATATACATGTATACTGGTCTGCTTCTGATACTGTAGGTCTTTCATTTCGTCTACTCCAAAATCAAGGTGGGTGTGGTAGACTTCATCATCTGATGAACAGTATATTTGAAATTAAGATTTTATCCATACAATTTCATCATCTTTAAAACCCAAATGACAGAAGAGCATATTCACTATGGAGCCATTGAATAAAACCCAGACCATATGCATCTCTTTCCACACCCATTCACGTTCAAAACCACCTAAAAAACAAGTAATTGGATTTTCTGTGCTAAGGAACCGAACCAGTTGTAGCTAAAATTCTGTAGATCACAAAAACATTCCAGGATATTATAATTACAATGTGTTTCTTGGATAATATGATAATCTATTAATTGTTAAAAAGTTGTGACAAGACAGATAAGCTGTTTCTTTAATTAAGACGATTATTGCATGATTTATGGATTAAAAGCCTCTTTCTGCTCTGCCAAATCAATCTCTGCCCGCAATATAATTAAGTTTTGACTTCTCCCCTTTTTCTTTTTCTCCCTCAGACTTCAATCTGGTTTAATCTTCAAAAGACACGTTTCAATATTATGAGAAAATAATTATGATCAAGAAGTTGATTAATTTTTACGATTAGATGACCAAAACCTGCAGCGCAACATAATAAAATTGTAATTATACATGTCATTATTTATATGTAATTATTATAATTATTACACATATTTCCTATAAAAAAAAATTACTATTTATTACATATTACATAAAAATAATTACTGTTTGCCTTTTGAATTAGTAAAACTACTTTAAAACTAATCTTTTATAAAAGTAGTTTTAAGATTAAAAAAAAAAAAATTGTAAAAAGTATTTTAATATAAAATATTATATTAATTATGTTTTTAAAAAAATAATAATGTAATAATAATAATAAAATTTAATTATTCTGTTATTAAATAACATTGTTTTTCTATACTTATTATAATAATTTAAATTAATTTATAACTTATATTTATGTATTTATTTATTCAATATAAATATTAATTTTAAATTATTATTCTTTTTAAAATACATATTATTTTAATAATTTATAATAGATATAAAATTATTACTAATGAGTTAATATTGTTTTTTATCTTAAAAATATTTAATATTAACTTATAAAACATAACATTAATAAAAATGCTCATTACATTATTATTTACCTCATATATACAAGATAAATTATTTCTCAAAGGCGTCTACTTTCAGTTTTCTAATTTCATTTTTATTAAAAACTAAAAAAAACTAAACTAGTTTTTGATTTTAACATTTTTTTAATGTTTAACTAGGTTTTTACCTTTTGATAGCATAAATAGAAGCACTAATCGTTTCCATTAGAATGTGTAAAGAGTCAAATGATTAAGTAATTTCTCATGAGTGGATGAATAAAAAAAAATTTCGATCAAAGCTCTAGATTTTTCTTCATCCATTACTGTAATAGTATCTCAGGATATGCAACTATAATTTGATATATTTATTATATGACCATTAATTAAAATATGTCTATAGTTAACTAATTGACAAACTTTAGAAATTGTCAAAGTCATACCCATTCGAAAAATGATATTATCCAAACACGTTTCAAGCAATTGTAGTAAAACTTAACCTATTGATTCTTTGATTTTTCCAGCGATATGAACTTATTTAAGAAATTGTCGTTCCCTATGACCATAATGAAAAAGAAATTTTTGTTTTTCTTGTAAACAAATACGATATTGAGATTTCTTCCCGAAACACTTTTTGTTTGTAAGATTGCTTCCTTCTCTAGGTCGTTATATATATATTGGCCATGTATGATGGAAGTATAGGTGAGATACATGCCCACAAAATTTTTTTAATAAAAAGTTAGGTAATTATAATTTATACAACTTTTAACTTTGATATTATATTGAATCAACCATTTTAAAATATTTAAATTAATACAACATAGTTCAATTAATTATTTATATATTAATATTTTTGAAAAATGATGTTATACAAGATAGTACCAGTCAAGTGCTATTAAATAAATAATTTTTAGATAATTATTATTTTTTTTTTTTTGTAAAAATTAGAAATTTCTATTTAATAAGGATGATGTGAACACAATTAAATTACTACCTAATCATACCAATTACATTTATATTGCTTCTCCTGGTAAATTCTCTCTTTTCTTTTTTCTTTTTCCTTCTTTTCTTCCTAACCCAGTACGCGTGCAACTGTCTGTGACAAAAAGACAAACAGTGAGAAGCTACTTGAAAAGACAAAATTACATACATGTGTTTAATATTCTTGTAAAAATTTGAATAGCTTCTTTTTCATATCCTACTTCGCCCAAGATGGATAATTGAAATTATCAAATTTTTTATGCAATAGGGTTCTTTCCAAGCATAAGTAATTGCATGCATTAGTATAAGAAATTCTAATTCTTGTCAAATTTAAAGTAATTTGGATAATAATACATAAAATTTCACATAAATTTCATTGAATAACCTCTGGAGAAAATTAAAACACAGCTTAATTTGTCTGCAGATTAGAAAATTGGAGTGAGCTGTGTGTGTTTATTTTTCAAGAGCATACGTGGGTAGAACACAAAAAAGAAAATGAAAGAGAGTAACGTAGGGCTAATGATGATGATGATATGGGATAGTGCCTTGCATTTTTTTTTTTTTGAAGAGTAAAAATATAAATAATCTAATGACAGATTGCTCAAAATAGGTTTAACCAGTCGTCGACTAAAGACTAAACACCCACCGGGTCTACAACTTCATGACAAGCACGTTGATCAGAGCCCCACCCTTCAGGAAAACGAAAAAAATAAAAAAGGAAACAAACACCTTACCATGATTATCATCATACCCACCAACAAAAGCAAAAGCAAAAGCAAATCAATAAAAGATAATTTCAGTCATCAAAACAATACCCGGGTTTCTATCTTCTTCTTTCTTCCACCTTAGCTTCTTATAATACTTGGTCTTTGGTATCTTCACACCCAGAGAGAGTATGGGCAGAACTGGTGTAAAATTGCCTGGTTTCTGTCTAAACAAGATCAGACCTCACGTTAGAGTCCGGTCGCCACCCGTTGAATCAAACCCACCTACTCATCAGCTCAACACAGTCACTCATCATACAGAAAATAAAACCAGTCGTGAAGATGATGGATCAAAACCTGGTCAGTCCACATTGCTTGGAAGGAAGATCATGATTGTTGTTAATTCCAGCCCCGAGTCAAAGACTGCTTTGCAATGGACACTCTCTCATGGTGTTCAGAACCAGGATAAACTCATCCTTCTTCACGTGACTAAGCCTTCTAAACTAGGTGTCACTAATTAATTACTTTCAAATATTCTCAATGATGATGGCTATATGAATTTTTAACACATATGGATATTGTACGTATGTCAGTCTCAGGTGAGGAATCTGGCAAGAAGACAGATCCCAGGGCTTATCAACTTGTTCATTCTTTGAAGAAAATGTGTCAATCCCAAAAACCGGAGGTGGGTATAAATTCAACTAATTTGTTTACCTCTCCATAGAAAAACTTTTTTTCCTGTGGAGAAGATATATATTATCTAATTGAAGGGTGTGATTGTGTGGATGGCTGCAGGTTGAGATTGAAGTTGCAGTGGTGGAAGGGAAGGAGAAGGGTCCAACAATAGTGGAAGAAGCCAGAAAACAAGGAGTATCACTTCTGGTTCTCGGTCAGAAAAAGAGATCCATGACATGGCGTTTAATAATGATGTGGGCGGCAAACCGGGTAGCGGCAGGCAGCAGTGATATGGTGGAATACTGCATACAAAATGCAGATTGTATGGCAATTGCAGTGCGGAGGAAAAGCAAGAAACTTGGAGGGTATTTGATCACCACTAAACGTCACAAAGATTTCTGGCTCTTGGCTTGATCACTTGAACATAATCAAAAGAAAAATTAATTGAGTGAATAAAACTTTGGGAGCTTTTTCTGGTTAATTTATGTGATTGTGCTCTTCTATTAACTAATATTGTTTGTACATGGTGGGTAAAGTAAAATGGAAAAAGGAAAAGGAGTTTGAAGTGTGAGTAGAAAAAAGTTGTGTTTGCCATCACTTTTGGGCAGCTTGTATTATGGTAAAGGGAGAGACAGATGGGTCCCTTTTGTCTCCTTCATGGTTCTAATTAGAAGTTTCCAGATAGTTAAATTTAAAATTTTTAAAAACTAAGAAGATATTAAAATGGAAAAAATAACTATCCCTCGTTGATTGATTCAATTACTAAAACTAAATTAGATATATTTATAATATTTTATAAACTAAATATGTATACAATATAAGAAAATAAACACAACCATTAAACTGGACTGAACTTTAATTAATCACTTAATTTGTTCAAATATTATTTTCAATGTTGAATGACCCAAGAAAAGAGATGTATTTTGAGTCATCCAAATACATATAGGATGGTATTGTATATTTCAGGCTCGTACAATATAATTATATATATATATATATGTATATATAATTAAAGAAGGTGAGGATATAAATATAAATATAAATATAAATAACAAAAAAAAAGTAAGGATATAAATCATCCAAATTACATAAAACCACCGATTCAATAGTTTAAAAAAATGAGAAAAATGGTAGTTTTAGGAACTATGTAACAACTACTAAAAAACTATGTCATGCGTATGAAAATATAAATAAACAAAATAAAATTATGAAATTATCATACCATACACTAATAATATAACACCCCGAGCCCAGGATTATTAAATTTATGTTAATAATAATTTTAAAGACTTTAATTTTAATTTTTTAAAAAAATTTTAAAAATATATATATTTTGAATGTATTTGAAAATAATTTTCAAAAGTCATGGTAAAATTGGAAATAGAAAATGACATATTTGAAAAGAAAATTAGAAAATTGAGACAAAAGTGCAAAAATAAAAAAATAGTCACATAAGACGACCACCTCAGCAGCACGACCAGTGGTCGTGCGCTATGTGGCAGACATGCGGATACGCGTCCACGCAGGTAATCCGCGTGTCAATCGATCCAATGGTCCAAATTTGCTCATGCGCACACGAATTGATCCAGATCTGTTTTTTTTTCAGGTGCAATCGAACGGTTCACATGTCTTCAATCAAACGACTCTGATTTGTTTTTCAAATAAGATAGATCGGACGGTGGAGATTGGGCCACATAACTTTGAATAGATGGCCCATATCGAAAGTGGAGAGGTATTTAAACCTTTCCACTCGAACTCCCAAAATCATAACCGCCAAGGAAAATCGGAGAAGAAGTAGAGGGGCAGCCAAAAAGTGAACCAACCGCCGTCACCACTACACCGAAACCCGTTGTCGATGCCTGAAGGTGAGTTTTTTCTTCCCGTTCACTTCGTTTTTCCCCTTTTTCCATCAATAGAGGCCACCTAACCCCGAATTTCGCAGGATTTCGCAAAGAACCAGCCAAAACCGGCTTGACAGAGAGGAGGAACTGCTGTAGACAACGGAGCCAGCCTGCCTTGTTGGAACCCTAAACCAGCTCTCGAGAGAATTTAACCCATTTTGGCCATTTTTTGCATATTTCTACAATATTTGACGCGTATTTTTGGTTTTCGTAGAAAAATTTAAGAAATTTGATAACCATGAACTACCGAAAAATGCAAAAAGGCGGTATTCCGAATACTGACCCAAGGTAAAAATCTCTCACTCTTTTTTCTGTATATTTGTCCCTATTTTATTTGTGTTACATATTTATTGCTATACTGTTTTAATTGCTCACTATTACATCGTGTACCCTAATTTACTGATTTTAATTGCATGTCTGCTTATTAGTTTGTTTAATCATTTTCATCCCTATCCGTTAATTGGGTTTAAAATAATTGTTTTAATTACGTTTCTTGAATTATTGAGTATTAACTTATATTACCTATTAAAGAATAATCCTATTGTTCTCTAATTTTAGAATGCGAGTGTTGTATGTATTTGGTTGCTAAATGGTAATGGGGACATACAATGTGTAAGTTAAAGTTCAATAGATAATAAACAAAAAATTTTAAATGTTGGCGACCCCCCTTGACTAATTAAATACAGGTCATCGTTGGAGCCGGTAATCGGTTAGTGTATATTTATCCATATTTTATTTGTGTTACCTATTTATTGCTATACTGTTTTAATTGCTCACTATTACATCGTGTACCCTAATTTACTAATTTTAATTGCATGTCTGCTTATTAGTTTGCTTAATCGTTTTTATTTCTATCCGTTGATTTGGTTTGAAATAAATGTTTTAATTATGTTTCTTGAATTATTGAGTATTAGCTTATATTACCTATTAAAGAATAATCCTATTGTTCTCTAATTTTAGAATGCGAGTGTTGTATGTATTTGGTTGCTAAATGGTAATGGGGACATACAATGTGTAAGGTAACATTATTAAACCAATGGGGCTTATTGGGTGTCATGAAAAAATGTGTGCAGACTCGGTACATAGAGTAAATCCTACCATAGATGTTACCCTCATTCGAACAGGATTGAGAAGTCTTATACCGGAAGGGGTTGAGAATTATTTTAATTATGCTTGTACCGAACGGGGTATTGAGACGGTTGTATGTTTGATGCCCATTACTAGACGGGATATGAGGACTGTCGGTTAATTAATAAAATGAATATTTGGTCTACGCATGGTAGAAACCCCTATGAACCCCCACAACAGCTGTAAGTAAGTAAAAGGGTAAAGTTTGATTACTGTTGGTCTTTTAGAATGTATGATGTGTATTGTTATCTTGTTTTTTTCCTTCATAACCAGTATTTGGAAACTTAAAGGTAAGGAATAAATATTTTTAAGTTAAATGAATTTATTTAAATCAAAAAATAATCTCCATTGGTTGTTTACGATTTCTACCAACCTTTAATTTTTCTATATCGGTTGTAAAGTGTTGACATTCTTACTAAGCTAGTGTAGCTCGTATCTTTATTATTAACCATTTCATATCAGAACGACCAAGATCCGAATCTTGAATAACAAAAAAGTTAGGAAAAATGTTGCCTCCCATTTTTTCCCATTTACTCAGTGGAGGTTAATCACATAGATTTTTAGTTTGCATTTTTCTTTCTTTTATATTTTTTTTAAGGGACATTCTCGTAACCCTATTGAGCATTTAAATTAAACTGTGCAATGAATGTTACCCAAAATTCAAAACTGCTTCCGCAAACTAATAAATTTTAATATTATTATTTAATATAAATGTTTAGGCCTTTACAGTTGGTATCAAAGTCACGATCCTTAGAACCGTTCCTTGCATATGGGGTTAGAATAATTTAAAACAACCTGAATCTCAAACCTTGTTGTGAAATGTAGATACAAAGACATAAGGAGAGAAATGTCCCCGCTAAATAGTGCAGCTTGGAAGGGATCGTTTCGAGAGGATATCGATCGGCTCTTAGAGATGCTGGAGAAACTCATCTCTGACCAGCAGGCTAGGGAAAAGAGGAGGGAGCTGTCTGATTCCCCTCTACCACTGCCATTGTATGAGCTACCTCTACACTAAGAGAATCCAGTGCCACCACAGTATGCCCATGCTCCCCCACCGTATTATCTAGTACTGTCACAGTGCAATCCCGCACCCCCAACATACAACCAGGTGCCACCATAGGGCCACTCGATCCCTCCCCAGCATAATCCAGTTCCCCTTTAACCAAAGCCAACTCCACCCATAATAGACCTAACTTACATCAAGAGGTACAAAAGACTTAATCCATCTACTTTTGTAGGGACATTCACTTTTGAAAAAGCTGAATACTAGTTAGTAAAGACTGATAAGGTCTTCGCAACTCTTAGAGTAGTTCCCAAATAAAAGGTCATTATTGCCACTTACATGCTCGTGGGCGAGGCAGGGCGTTGGTGGCAACTGAAGTAGGTCACTCTACACACTCCAGTCACCTAAGAATAGTTTCTGACAGCCTTCAATACTAAGTACCTTTCAGAATACCTTCAACATCTGAAAGAGATGAAGTTTGCACACTTGGTCCAAGGGAATTTGTCAGTATCAAAGTATGCTTAAAAATTTCTGAAGTTGGGCCAATATTCTCCTAAGAGCATGATAGACGAAGGCAGGACGGTAAGAAAGTTTAAGTGGGGTCACTGCCCCGAAATTAGACAACAATTGTATGTGTTCGAGCTCAGCACCTACTCAATAGTTTTGACCAAGGCACAGCTAATATAAAAGAACCTTTGCATTTTTTCTCCAGTAGTGGGCAATTCTAGGCCCCTGGTTCCACCTGTAGGTCAGCACCTACTGCACCAAATCAGTAGAACAAGATATCAAGGCCTATAACTTAAGCTCATTCTCAAACTCTAATGACAGGACGCAGTAAAATTTACCAGCACTGTGGCAAGGATCATGAAAACTGACATTGCTATCACCTCAACAACACCTGCCATATATGTTGGAGTGCCTAGCACTACGTGATAGAATGCCCGCGAAATCAAAATCAAGCCAGACCCGTAGTCCAGGGCAAAGCCTATACGCTCACTCAGCTGGATGCTGAAGCCAACTTGGACGTGATATATGGTATGTACACTATTTGTAACTACCTTGCACATATTTTTATTGATAATAATACTTCATGTTTTTTTTATTTCACATGCTTTTACTCAAAAGTTAAACGGGTTACTTGAAAGCCTTGATTCTATACTGTTTGTGTCTACACTTGGGAATGAGACACTTTTAGGAGATGTTATATACAAAGCTTGTATAATAGAAATAGCAGATAAAAAATTGAGTGTAGATCTGATAGCACTTGACACAGGAGATTTTGATGTAATTTGAGAATGAGTTAGTTAGCAGTGTATCACACCACTGTGGACTGTTTTCATAAAAAAATTGTATTCAACATTCTTAACAAAGAGTCTTATACAAATTAATAAAAATTTTAGATATCATTTACACGTGGTAATTGCATTTTTTATCAAATGCCTTAACTCAGTTATTCTTTTCCACATTAGGCAAGTTTAAGAAAGAGATTTCTATTCAAGATATTCCTGT